TCACATAATATATCCCAGACATGATGCCTGAAACCCTTTCATATATATATATATATATATATACAGCTAATTCAAAAAAGGTTGTCCTTTGCAAACCTTAAACTCTAAACCTTAAACCTTAAACTCTAAGCGCGCAAAGCATAATGGGAGCACTGATTTCAAGCTTAGTAGTTGAATATTGCAGCTGTTTGTGAGTGAAATGTTTTCTCAGGCACATATTTACCATGTCTCTAAGAAATGGGCTTCATATATGCTTTCTAAGCTGCTTAAATCGTACTCCCATAATGCTTTGCGCGCTTAGAGTTTAAGGTTTAAGGTTTTAGAGTTTAAGGTTTTCAAAGGACAACCTTTATTGAATTAGCTGTATATATCTATATATATATATATATATATATATATATATATCTATATATATATATATATATATATATATATATATATATATATATATATATATATATATATATATATATATATATATATATATATATATATATATACCACTTATTGTATTAATTCAGCCACTTATTGTATTCTATGGACTATGAATATTAACCGACCTTTGTTCAGTTGTTGACGTTTCTGCCAGTATTAGCTAGTGAGCTGAAGCAAGCGACGTTTTGCTGATGTGATGCCTGGAGTCTTGAAAGAGCGCGGATTGGCCGTTGTATACGATCTTGTGACTAGCCGGCGTAGCAGGCGTTTAACTGGAATCGTGCACAACACAACAGCCATTCAGCGCTTCTTCAAGATTTAAAAACTATGACATCACCGTAGGTATAGGTGACTCCAGCATAGTTTTGATAACATTTTGTCTGAACTCAAAAATAATTCGTTTTTTTAACAACCTTAGAATGAACTTTTGGACTGAGTTAAAACTTTGGGAGAATGTAGTAAAATTACCAGTGTTTGAAATTATGTAGATTTTTTATTGTAAATTGCGAAATATTCATGCTCTAGTAAACGTTGTAATACATTTTACGTAAATAAATTATAAACAAAGTAGACATGCACGCGCGAGCGAGATTTCACGCACGAGCTTTCAAAACTTTTCCAAGCTACGAGATTACAAAAAAACAGACAAATAATACCACGGGGAGCCCATCCCGGGTCTTATTGAAGTTATGTGTTAGAATTACGTATGAAATATATAGCTCAGTGTTGAAGCCTGCGATTTGCAGGCTGTGTGCGGGCTAACGCGCGCGTTTTATAGATTCAACGCGGCCGTTAGCCCGCAAATCGTAGGCTTCAACACTGAGCTATATATTTCATACGTAACGGCTAATACATAACTTCAGTAAGACCCGGAATGGGCTCCCTGCATGTGACTAAGCCAATTACTTTTAATATAGAACTTGATACTTCTTTAAAAATATATTATATACTAGAAAATACATGCATGCAGAAACCCTCGTATTCTGACAAAACCATTGTATTTTCCGAACATGAAGTATTTGAAGTAGTTGTAATGGTAACACGATAATTTTTTAAGAATATTTTTCCAAAGAAAAATCCCCTAAAAATATCACTTTAATTACAAAATTACCAATTTCCTAAACATATTTTTGTTAGGTATGTTATTATACGTAATATAAGCTTCAATTATATAATTAAGGTAAAATTCAACCACAAACGCTTCGCAAAACGTTTTAAAGTGTTCTTTATAAAACTAAACTGCCTTTTCGCTTTATCGATAAAATTTGAGAATTTGAAACAAAATGATTTCAAATTCTCGCATGCAAATAACTTTGCTTTCTTTTTTATTTAAAAAAAATTCAGTATAATATAATAAACTAGGGATCCAAGGATAGTGTGAAGTTTCAAATTTAAAAAGACACTGCGAGAACTATATAGGGTCGCCGACAACCTAGAAAAGCTTGATGGCTTACACTACGAAATAAACAGTTACCAAAGGCATTTCATCTCATTATTTATTGCTTTTAATACGCTCGGCACACGAGTAGCGTGACGTTTGAAACAAGCCTAACACATCAGAAACGTGCCTTGTGAAACTGATGCAATTCATCTATTTATTGTGTCACCAACAACCAAATTTTGCATATTCTAAATTTTCATTTGCATTTGCAGCTGTCGCTGAAAGCATCCCCACGAGACTACTGCTATGCTAAATTTATCTAATAAACTATGAAATAGCTGTATAAGATATGTTATGAATAATAAGCACTACGTCGTTACATCATTAAAAGACGCATTTTATCCTCATCCGTTCCGTATTTTATCCGCATATCCGTTCCGTGGATCCGCTCTATCCGCTTCCGCATTTTAACTTAATTGTGACATGTTTCACAATAACAAGTTTCATTGACCTTTGACTTTTCCCAGTGTGACGTGTGTCTATTTTCAGCTTTTCGCATGTGTTGAATTTATGCCTTATTGATCTGATACAAATCTGATGCAATTTTTCGCTCTTTGTACTGAGTATAGCCATCTATTCTGTGATGTAGCACCTTATACAGTCAATGAGAATGTATAATGAATACACGGTCTAAATAATATCGACGGTAATGCATAACATCAATTTTTAATATATATTGTATTACTATTATTCCGTAGAATCTCAAAGATTTTCTCAATATTCATGTCTGAAATGTTTATATACTTGAAAACAACACTGTCTCGCTTCTGCCTGCACGTACTACAGTACAATGACCTCTGTATAATGAGTATGCCGTGAAAAAATAATATCGGCACTCAATTGAATGCCTAGAAGCAAGATTTTCGACTCAATATTTACGTCTGAAATGTTTATACACTTAACTGCACTGTCTAGGCGGTCTAGCTCCTTCCTAGCTCTGTATAATGAATATACCGTCGAAATATTATCGGCACTTATTAAATTGAACGCCCGTAATGCATAAGATCAATTTATATATTGTGTAGATTTTCAAAGATGTGCTCAATATTCACGTCTGAAATCTTTATATACTTGAAAACAACACTGTCTCGCTTCTGCCTACGTACTGTACCTCTGTATAAAGAGAATACCGTGAAAATAATATTGGCACTCAAATGAATGCCTAAGAGGTCCTAAGAATCAAGATATTCAACTCAATATTTACGTCTGAAATGTTTACACACTTGACTGCACTGTCTAGGCGGTCTAGCTCCTTCAATTCCTAGCTCTGTATAATGAATATACCGTCTAAATATTATCGGCACTTAATTGAACGCCCGTAATGCATAAGATCAATTTATATATTGCGTAGATTTTCAAAGATTTACACAATATTCACGTCTGAAATCTTTATACATCTGAAAACAACACTGTCACCCCTTCCTAGCATATCGTCACGCCATCGTGATCTACGGCTTGATAGCGCACGCGCATTTGCGCTACTAAAGAAAAAATCGGGTGTTCCGGGGTAAAGATCCTTTACACAACATGAGAAGCGAATGTTCTAAAATTTACAAAAAATTACAATAACGAAAGCGATTCCTCCAAATTTTTGTGAACTTGGCAAAAGGATAACAGAATATGTAAATAAGTTAACTGAAATTGCCTCAATAACCTTCAAAGTACTGACTAAGTACAATAAATCACTACGAACATAAATCGTATACACCCCCCGGAAAGTTTACTCTATGACTGACTGACTGTTTGACTGACTGACTGTTTGACTGACTGACTGTTTGACTGACTGACTGATTCGTGTGAATTCGCCAGCCATCACAATAGTGTGAAGTGAAACTTCACACTAAAAAGGTAGTCAATAAAGTATACATTGAAATTATATGCTGTCTTGTTTCGTTTATACGCAACGTAACAACGTTTATACGATCCGGCTTTTAAAGCAATTATAAAGCAAACAATACATTAATATTTAAAACAAACTTACCTTCATGAACGTCGGCGCCTTTGCTCCCTTCTTTTAGCCGATTCTTTCGCTCTTTTTTCTTAAAAAGCTTTTGAAATTCACAAAATCTTGCAAAAATGAAATAGATTTGCAAGAAATCATCAAATCAAGAAAATGAAGAAATGTTTGCTATTTCTCTATCGTCATGCAGTGTTATACTGTCATTTACGTCATACAGTCCGCCATATTTTTGAGATCAGTGAGGATGACCACCCACGTTGGTCACCCACGCCCGCGATCATTGATAAACTTTAGACTTCACTGATGCTTTCGTTTCCCCGGGTGTAAATAGCCGGGGGGAATTAGTACCCTCGCCCCGGGCTTACGCCCGGAACAAATAACGTACTAAAAATAGCAACACTACAGTGTTTTTAATAGATCAGTGGCTAAGAAGAGCGAGCGCGCGGGGTGCTTGGGGAGGAAATGGGAAACGAAGCTGCAGAATCCCGTCGTGTCCTGCCCAAGCACCCCCGCGCGCTCGCTCATCTTAGCCACTGATCTATATAAAAACACTGTAGTGTTGCTGTTATAGACGGCGTGTAATTTTCATTAACCATGAGGTTTTCATATATTTATTTAGCTACCTCCTCCGCAGGCGCTTAGGGAGCATTTCGGGCAGGTTCGGAAAATGCGGGTTGCAGGCGAGAGCGCCTGCCGAGTAATGCTTTCAAGATGGCGTATGCTATAAATCGAAATTTTCATTTTGACTTTACTATTATGACTTAATATACAATATACATACCAGCACTGATCTAATAGATCTAAATAATATTTAGAAATAGCATCCAGTGGTCTTGGCAGACTAAAAAGTACTTATAACTAGCCGCCGCTTTTCTATGACGATGGAGACTGTCTAATATAAAGTGTTTATACAAATTATGCCAATGCAAATACAACATCAACGATATATCCGCTTTCTACATATTTTGCGACTAAGCCTATGATAAGCCATTCCAAATACTTTAGATAAGATTCAAATATCAGTCTGCATGAAACATTAAAAGCACAATTTGAAAGATAAATATGGTGAAATTATATTTGCATATTAAAAATATACATTTACAATGTAAATAGAAGTAATATAGCGTCTCATTGTTCGCTTGTTCTTTGTCTTTTGAGTATAGTAACACAATGTCTGCATGTAGAATCTCCATTACCACAAAAATCTACATACCAAGTCCATTTCAGAAAACGATATATTGGGAGTATCCACATCGCTGCAGTCGAACGATGAGCACAACATATTAATTGTCAACATATGGCGTTATTCAAACGTGTCCTGTTCATAGAGATCGATATCATTGTGTTACGACTGCTTGTTATGAATTGCATTATAAAACGCGTCAATGATCTACATGATATTTAATCAGGTAAAATACATACATATTTCATTTCACAGAATGACATATTAAGAACGTCAACATCGTCGAAATCCTCGATTTTTCCCTCTGTTCGTCGCTGCTTTCGGCCATGACTGCCCTGAAGTATCACAAATACTCTACCATACGGTCGGCACTAGATCATAGACAAGATACGCACATATCTGAAACTGCAATACATACGAGTCAGCGGTATTCCATATTTAAAATTCAAATAAATTAGTGCGCGAAATTGGAAAAAACGCGCGAAACCAAAGCAATATGGCTTCCATCGAAGAGTATAGCGATAGTGACCGGGTGCTTGTTTGCGCTTCACAAGCAGAAATGCTTGAGAAATTTGAAGAGTACAAAATAAAAACAAGTAGTGGTTGGAGATGTATCAAATTAAACGCAATTTTTGGTACGTGAACTAATTTCAATATGTAAATTTGTCTTATAAATATTCATACGAATACCGTGTGTGCAATATTTATGAAAGATCCAAATTATGCATACATAAAACCTTTATCGATTTACTGCAGTACTACACTCATATAATAATATAGTATGTCTTTATAAAGGTCGAAAGATGCATGTGCTTTAGAATTATATAGTAAAACTCACTGGATAAAAACCTTTCATAAGGGACCACTCATTAATAATGGGAAGAGGGAGGGGGGGGGTGGGGCGGTGGATGATAGATACCAAATACTGAACATTTTTTAGAGCCGCCCCAATCGCAAGACCTTTATTTTCAAGATGCCCCCATCTTCATTTAGAAAATTTAGGACCCCCCTCCAACATTTAATTGTTACTTAGTTGGTGTAAAATAGGTAATGGGACAAGTACTGGTGTTAAGATATTGTGTAGCCTAAATAATAAGAGGACCAGTATTCAAAATGGTTGTTATTTACTCTGACTCCTATCGTGAAACTATGGAAACTACGATTATAGGAACTAAAAAAGGTGGGATATTTTGTGGGATACGATTAAGGCAAGAAATTGAAAATGAGTAGGAAAGTATTAAAAATTTGGGGTCACCCCTTGTCACATATTTTGAGGACACCCCCAATTCAGGCAAAAATAGTTGAAGCTGCCCTGCCCCCTCTTCTCACCCACCGCCCCCCCTCAGTGGCATAACGCTCACTAGGTAGGGTTAGTTCAAAAACTAAGGGCCCCCGACAGTTAGGGCCACCCATCAGCCACGGCCTATCACCCAGAAAATTAGACTGAAAACGTAAAAAATACAGGTAATTACAAATCGATGGAAAAATACAAAATTAATAATGCTAAATAATAAACCCTCCATCGACGACGGTATTCCATCTCAAATAGAACAAAAGTTATTCTTAAAAGTTGTTACATGTGTTGGAGACTGTTATTATCATTGTTATAAACACAGAATTTTCCATATTCTACTGATAAATATTCAATTTAAATTTTAGATCTCAGTCAAACAATAACAGTCAACAGGGCCCCCACACCAAAATGCCTAAGGGCCCTTCTTCCTCCGTTACGCTACTGGCCCCCCTTCCATTATTAATGACCAGTGGTCCCTAATCATTCATTATATACATTTCATACAATTTCATATTAATATATGCATGACTGGCTTTTCAAGATACATCAATAAAACCCAATAAACAGAAAGTCAGAAACAAGTGCTAACACTACAAATAAATGGTAGAAATACACAACAATGGAAAAAGGCTTTCATTCAATTATCTGCCAGTATGATATTCACATGCCTACTATATGATGTTAAAATGTATCATCTTAGGCCCTGTTTACATGAGCCATGCAGGCTAGCCTGCCTTGCCAGAATAGAAATTATTATCTTATGAGTCAGGATCTTGGCTAACCAAGACACTGAAGACAAGCCTGGCTAACAAGGCCAGCTTGAGTAATCTAATGTCCATTTTATGTACTATATATGCATAATCACTTCATAGTCTGCTATAGCACAACATATTTCAATAATTATTAACCCAATAATTATTAACCCAACAATTTCTAACAATTATTAATTGACAACAATCATTTTATTAAAATATTGATTATTTTAACAATTATTTTATTAATAACAATTATTTTATTAAAATATTGATTCTCTTCATTTCTGAAATCTAACATTGATCATGTGGCAGTCCCACTTTATGCTTTGTTGCAGGCAAAGAAGCATCCAACTAGCCTTTGACACCCTAGTCTGTTTTTAATGTTGTTAATATTAACTCATTAACTGGCAATGTGAATGTGCCCAAATGTGCCGTACTTAGTATTTACTCTGTCTAATGCCAGACGATTAATTACTCGTCAGTGGTAGAGTACTGCCAGTAAATGGGTTAAAGTGAATGTTAAATATGAATCAAGTTGAAGTCAGTTGTAATAACTAATTGATTCATTAACCCATTAAGTTGCAAGACTCCACTTGATGAGTAAAATCATCTAGCGTTAGACAGAGTAAAGATTTATTGTGTTATCTGCCGCTGTTGGAAGATCTTTTCCTTGAACATTTTACTAAAGATTTACTGTGTCATCTGCTGTTGTAGGAAGATCCGTTTCCTTGAACATTTTACTAAAAATTTACTGTGTTATTGTGCATAATTTCTAGTAAAATATAAGAAAAATTCAAATGTTGTATTTCCAAAAATATGCACTCAGACTTTGTTGTCCCAGGGGGAGGGACAGCTTAATCAAGGCATACAAAAGTTAGATGTACGCAGGACGAAACTTGAGGGGGGGGGGGTATGGGGGATTGTGACACCCCCCAAAGTACGAATCATCTGGATTGGCAGGGCGAATCATCTGGATTGGCAGGGCAATCAAAAATTTTAAATGATAGAATGTAGAGTTATTAAGTAACTTACAGGGATTTATAGACCCACATTTTACAGATATTGGTCCAAAAATAAGGGTTTCATGCATGTTTTAAAAGGAATTTGTACGGAAAAAAATTTTTGACCCTTAATTTGACTGGTTTATGTCCGGAAAACTTTTTTCAACCTATCTCACCCCCCCCCCCGGCTCGCCAACATTTTTGTGAAAAATAGTGGCCCAAAAAAAATTAGCTGCAGGGCATCATCGGCTTTTGCAGGGAAATTCTAGCAGACACCCCTTAATTAAAATGGGCTAGTTTCGCCCCTGGATGTACGGGGGGGGGGCAACATTTTCTGAGAGGGGTCCCTCCAGCTCTGGCTAGGTTACTGTATAGTATTCCCTAAAGCAATAAAATATTAATATTTCTAACTAATAATTATTACTAATTATTAGTAAATATTTATTATTTATGTTGCTCTAATAGTCAATTAGCCAAGTCAGACTACATGATTCAAATCCTAATGGGCCAATTGCACAAGTAAAATAGTCGTAAAATAGTTTAACAAAATTTGCTCGCTTCCACAAGGCATATTTATTTATTTATTTAAATAAAAAAAATATATATATAAAAGCATATATAAAAGCGACAAACGTGCAAAGTTGACCACCATGTGTTTTCCTATGAATATGTCACCAATATTATTAAATACTATGCCACATGTGGGCTATATTTTTCCCTTGGAAAATTCCCTTTAAAATGATTTTTAAATTAACCCCAAATAGGTAATAAAAGTAAATATATATTTCGCTTTACACATACCTATTTATCGATATAACAATCTTTAAATCTCCATTTGTAATGATTTGTTTATTTGTAATGCATCATTTGTAAATGTAATGATGTCTTTATTGCGTTTATATAAAGTTTACTGCACTTGAAATACCGCTGACTCGTATGTATTGCAGTTTCAGATATGTGTGTATCTTGTCTATGATCTGGTGCCGACCCTACCATACACGGGACAATAGTTTTGGGATAGGATGGTTCATATTTCACGAAGATTTTTAAGGATTGAAAACCGATACCCAGGAAACGTCACTTCTGCCCAGGAACCGACTATTATTCAGCAGGCCTTTCGTCAACCTCGTACCCAGGCTCTTACCTTCGCACGCCCCAAGCTGCGGAAAGACCCTGGTGCCGGCTGGTCACGTGGCTCCCAGGATATTAAATTACCAAGGGAGGGATGGACAAATCTAAATTACAATGCTTCCACTTTCCAATAGTAAAATTCGTTGGCAAGGAGCGGACGTATTGGTTTGAATTGCAAAAAGTGTAATTTGAGAGCACTTTGTATCGCAATTTGTTATTGTATAATTTGTATTGAATACTTCGTGTCAAGTTGACAATTATGCGCGCGTTTGTGTTCTTTTTGTCATTCACATGCAGCCAGGCCATAGAAGCAAAGTTGATAATTTCAACGGAGACTCGAACGGAGATGCTCGAGTTTCATTGCATTTCTTGCTTGTTTGGAATTCGTTGTTCTAAATAGTGCATTTCATAACAACATACTGTACTGAAGACGAACCAACTAAGCAAGTTCTTTGTTTAGAAAGTATTTATTTATTTATTCAATTTCGCCAGGTTTTACACGATTGATAACATTGTGTTCAAACTTCGCCAAGAGTTGCAATTTAAACATACAGATCTCCGTGTTCTTGGGTCCTGCATCAAAACAACTGTACAGGGCTTTCAAATAATACTGTCGTAAAGCACACGAGCAAATTTTATTTTGACAAATTTCATTTGATCAAATGCAAATGATCAAAAGCTAGCATGCTAGCTTGCTAGCTTTTGTTCAAATGCATTTGTCACAATAAATTTGTCACAAATTTATCATCTACACGAGCAGAATATCTTTGACATTCAATTTGCCCGTGTAAACGGGCCTTAACAAACTCTTAAATGTACTTAAACATATATTATTTATTCGACAAAAGATGTTATTTATATAATTTGTATCCTGCCAACGCAACGCTTTATATGGAAAGTCTCTGATTTTCATCTGACCCATTGTTGTTGTTTGCAAGGGATCATATTTAATAAACAAGTCGATTTTCTTTCTCCATGGAAATCATTTGAGATATCTACTCAGGACGGTTCGTGTATTGTTATAGTTGTGTCTCCCTTGAATTCACTGATACAAGATCAAATATCTCGACTGAAATCAAGTGGCCTTCGGCCTTCGCGCGTCTGCCATTCTATAAATATTCGAAAAAAAATATTCCATGGAGAAATCACAATTGGATTGCACATTTTGGGTTTAAATGGGGATTACTAACATACGTATACGGATGACTATATTTATTAATTGCGGTAAAGTATATTGGTAGATGATATTCATAAACAATTGACTTACTTCTGTTGGCATGGGTAAAGGAGTAGCAGATCTAGTTTCATCACTCGAGGAGGACACATTGACAAAGTCAGTTAAGTGTAAAAGCCAAACTGCGGCTTCGACTTTCAACTGCAGCAACATTTGCCGAAGATCTGGCAACGGATAGAAAAACTTCAGGGCATCGCTTTGGATCGTGAATCTTTTACTAATGATTTCTGTGTTTCGGAAATTACATTCTTGAACGTCGTTCACAAGGACGGCACTCGATCGGCAGATCAAATAAGGAAAATCATCAACATGCGGCAGTCTCTCGCCATGAATCAACTCCGTGTTAATCAAAATTCTTTAATTTGTTTTGTTGAAGAGATTCTTACGATGTATCTGATCTTGTACACCATTATATAATCGACAACGAAAACTAGTTGATCAGTTGATCCAGGAGATCTTTTTGTAAAATTTCTTTGGCGTGGTTTTGCTAAGCCGATATAGTGACAGTGAAACATGAGATGTTTGTAATCCTGGAGAGTAATATGATACTCTTTCGGCTGCAACACATGATTAATCAGTGTTGTTTTAACATTTCTTCAAGAAAAAATCTTTTATTATTGTCTCGTACAATTAGAATTTTACTATTTTACAAATTCAGAAACAATTTCAATACGTACAAATCATTTCTACCACCCCTCCCTGAATAGCAATTTATTTTAGCACCCAGAATCTGGGAGCCACGTGACCAGCCGGCACCAGGGTCTTTCCGCAGCTTGGGGCGTGCGAAGGTAAGAGCCTGGGTACGAGGTTGGCCTTTCGTCGCCTTCCGTTCTTCCCTGATCTCAAATCTCACGCCCGCAAATTATTCCCGCCCGCATCGAAAGGCCTGCGGAGGAGGTAGTTTATTTAGTACAACTCAACAGTTTTTACAGAAAAACCCTGTTTCTCAAAACGTTTTGTGTTGGTTCTGTCCTCTGACCTTTCTATTTTCAATGTTACTGGACAAAAGTCTATTACCATAATAAATTAACATGAACTATATAATAAACTGGACAAAGTCCAAAACACCACCGCCCGTGACGTGAACGGGGGGAACGTTACTCATCATTAAAAGCTTCCAGTAATGCTAACCGTCCTACAGGACGTGTCAATGTTCCAGTTTTCGTTGCAATCTCCGCGGATCTGATCAGTCCGTCTTCACTTGCGATCGGTGCAATCACTCTTCCGAGCCTCCAATGCGAACGAGGTACGTCCTTCTCAACGATCAAGACAAGATCACCGCGACGTAGATTTCTGTGTGCAACATTCCATTTGCTTCGCTTTATTAACTGCGGAATGTACTCATTCGACCATCGGCGCCAGAATTGGTTCGCTAAGAACTGGCTATGACGCCATCTTCGACGTAACGACATATCTCGTTGGTTAAACTCGCCGGGCGACACGTTCGAACTCGCACGACCATGCAAGAAGTGGTTTGGTGTAATCACGCTGAGATCTGTTGGTGAATCACTGCTTCCACCATAGACAAGCGGACGAGAGTTCAGCATCGCTTCTACCTCGGCAATGACAGTAAGGAAAACTTCATCGACTGTGAGAACATTCCCAAACATAACTTTCAATGCCCGTTTGACAGACTTTACTAACGCTTCCCAGGCACCTCCAAACCATGGGGCAGCAGGCGGGTTAAAGATCCAACGTACTCCACGTGCTGTTAACTCATTCGAGATTTTCTCTTGATCCAGATCTTCCAACGCTTCGCGCAACTCTCTTTCGGCACCTACGAAATTTGTCCCATTATCACTCATTATACAAACAGGGACTCCTCTACGAGCTTGAAATCGTCGCAACGCCATTATACACGAGTCAGTGTCCAAACTATGTGCGACCTCGAGATGAACCGCGCGCATATGGAGACACGTAAATAAGCAAATATAGCGTTTTTCCTTTCGATTGCGTCCAATTCGAGTCTCAAACGGTCCGGCATAATCAATCCCAACGTGTCGAAAAGGAACACTTGCGCCTGCGAGACGTACATTCGGTAAATTAGCCATTTTCTGCGTCATAGGTTTAACACGACGGCGAAAACATAGTGGGCACTTAACTGTACAGTTCTTAACTTCGGCTCGACCGTGCAAAATCCAGTATTTCTCACGTACATGATTAAAGACATGTTCGACTCCCGCGTGGATAAGTTTTCGGTGGTAGTGGATCACGATCAACCGGGTGACATCATGTCCGTGGTCCAATATAACTGGATGCTTCGACTCCCACGGGATTTCCGCCTTTTCGATTCTGCCGCCTACCCGTAAAACACCGTCCACGAGTTGGGGATCGAGACTTGCAATACGACTATCTCGTGGAACCGGACGACCCTTTCTCAACGCTTCGATTTCGTCTTGGAAGCGATCGCTCTGGCCCCATTTGATCCAGTACAAGTTAGCATTATCGAGTTCGTCCACAGTCAACGGTCCCGATATTCGTTTCCCTTTGTTGCGCAGATTGTTACACATGCGAAATATCCATGCGGTTATTCGGGTGAGTTTTGATCCAGCTAGAATACGCGGCAGGATCAATAACTGGCTTCGCTGGTGCGACCTTTGCTTTCAAAACCGATTTCTTCAACTCCGCTTGACTTGGCTCTGGAAAATCAACTGCAACTTTATCAACAGGCCACTCAGAGAACTCAGACTTTAAGAACTCTGGTCCCTGAATCCAGGTTGAATCAGCGGAAATATCAGCTACAGACGTTCCTCTGCTCGCAATATCTGCAATATTCAGCTTCGTGCCAATGTGATGCCACTGAATTGGATCACTCTCCGACAGGATCTCTGCCACTCGATTGGCAACAAATGGACGAAATTTCCTTGGCTCACTCTTGATCCACCATAATGCAGTCGTGGAATCAGACAGATACTTGACACGACACTTGTCAAGTCCCAGTTGCTCACAAACAGACTTCGCCAGTCGGACAGCAAGTTGACAAGCCATCAATTCTCCGCGCGGAATAGAGACTGTCTTAAGCGGCATTAAACGAGTCTTCGACATAATCAAATGGCACACGTAATCTCCATCGGTTGACTTTGCACGTATAAAGGCAGCAGCGGCGTAGGCTACTTCTGAAGCATCACAAAAGACTATGAGAAACTTAGACCAGACTTTCGAAGGCTCACGGTAGATATAGCGCGGGACCGAGAAAGCTTTGAGCCAAATCATCTCCTCCTCCCACTTCTGCCATTCAATTGCTAAGTCCGGTGGAAGTTGTTCATCCCACTGGAGGCCACGAGACCAGGTGCGTTGCAGAAGAATCTTGGCACGGACAACGTACGGACTAGCCCAGCCCAACGGGTCGTACAATGCAGCCAATCTTTTCAGAATACCTCGCTTTGTATTTTGCGCCTTCGGACGATCAATGTGTGCTAATGCAAAGCCTAGATTGTCGGACTTTGCATCCCATTTCACCCCCAACGCACGCCCTGACAGAAGTTCTCCACTATTCACGTTCTTGTTTGGGACAGCCCTTTCTTCTTCGGGTATTGTTTCCAGGACCTTTCGTGACGACGAGAGCCACTTGCGCATCGGGAATCCACCCTTCGCCATCAAATTTGTCACATCCTTCCGCAAGGTTATTGCTTCATCATCATAACAGGACGTATATAAATCATCAACAAATATATCACGCTTGACCACTGCGGCTGCGACAGGCCATTCTTCCTTGTTGTCTTCGGTGGTGCGAATCACAGCATAGTTTGCCTCGCAGGGTGAAGATTTATCTCCAAACACCAGACAGTTCATCTCGTACACATCAGGTGGTCTCGACATATCCAATCCGCGCCATAAATAACGATGGTATTTACAGTCCTCCGGTTCTAATCGCACATGACAGAACATATCCGACACATCACCAGTAAGCGCCACAGGTTTCTCACGGAATCTCATCAGTATGCCAGGCAAATCATTATGGAGACTGGGTCCAGCTTGAAGACAATCGTTAAGGCAGATATCACCATGTTTTGCTGCGGAATCAAATACTACTCTCGGTAGGGGTTTGTGTGGGGAGAGAACCGGGTGATGGGGTAGGAACCACTGTTCACCATGTTTTATGCGCTCTTCTTCCGATAACTTGCGTGCAAATCCCTTTTCAACATATGCATTTATCGCTTTTAAATATCCCTCAGCTAACTAGGCGTTTCAAGGCAGTGTCATAATTATTAGGTAAACTAGGTCTGTTCGTTTTCCAAAGAAGTCCGAGTTGATAACCAAACTCCTGCTGCTTGCATGATTGATCAAGAATGTCCAAGGCTTTCTGCTTACCAGGCGTGTAAGGTGACTTAATCTCGGCCCGAACACCGAAACTGTCCACATCCCAGAACTTTCGTAACTCTTGATTAGCATCGCCTTCGTCCTCCGACACGTGGACACACAGGACACGCTTCTCCTGACCATTGGAGGCGGGGACTGGGCCGGCAATCACCCAACCTAAGGGTGTCAACTCTGCATATGGCTCTAAATGCCCCCGCGTCTAACTTGCACGGGTGCCATTAATGCAGCTGCATCTAACCCTAACAGGACATCAACCGTGCCCTTACTTAGTGGCTCTATTGGGACATCATTTAGGTGGGCATAATTATGCTTAATCTCAGGCCAATTAACATCTGGGACAGG